GGAGGCGCCACCGCCAGAAGGCCTTGACAGTGACTTCGTGCATCGCATCGCATATGGTGCTGCGGCATGGTCTTACCAATTGGACAGGAACTGAAGTCAGCTTGGGTGACGTTCGACCAGGCAAGACCTCCGGGTTACGGAGTGCTTTTTTTTCCGAGAGGTATGTTGATGCATCTTCATGCTCTGCCAGACCGATGAATGGCATGACTTTTTGCACTCGATCCGAGTCTCCGGTACTTGTGACATGTTGGTGCGGAGCTCCTATACTGGTGTCGTAAGTGATTCCGCAGGGCGGCGAAGAAACCACGGCAGCCGCACCACTCAGATCGCGTGACTGTGTTAATGGGCTGCAATTGTATGGGGTGGTTTGAGGTCTGCGGATGTTTAAACTGGCTGCAGGCAGTCTTCGTCTGTTTATTCGGAAATGGAAAGGTGTGTGTGTCTCCACCGAAAAAATGAGCTTCCGGATGGATAACAGAAACAAGCAATTTCTATTTATTTATTTCTTTCTTGAGGGTTTAGGGTTTGGGGTTTAGGCGTTAGGGTTTAGGCGTTAGGGTTCAGGGTTTATATGGTTTGGGCTTTAGGGTTTAGGGTTTGGGGTTTATAAGGCGTTAGGGTTTAGGCGTTAGGGTTCAGGGTCTATGGTTTGGGCTTTAGGGTTATAGGGTTTGGGGTTTAGGCGTTAGGGTTTAGGCGTTAGGGTTCAGGGTTTATGGTTTGGGCTTTAGGGTTTGGGGTTTAGGCGTTAGGGTTTAGGCGTTAGGGTTCAGGGTTTATGGTTTGGGCTTTAGGGTTTAGGGTTTGGAGTTTAGGCGTTAGGGTTTAGGCGTTAGGGTTCAGGGTTTCTGGTTTGGGGTTTAGGGTTTAGGCGTTAGGCTTTAGGGTTTTTAGGATTTAGGGCTACGAAGAGGCTAGGGTTTGGGAAAAGTGGCAGGTGTGGTCCTAGCTATCGCAAGAACTGGCACTGTCCTGTGGTTCGTCCAAGACACCTGCCTCTTGGCAGCCGCAACACTTCAGTTTCTCGTTTATTTGCTGCGCTTGTTTTTTGCTTACACCCTGAGCCCGGTTTAGAAATGTAGCCGCCTTAGGATCGGATATAAGCGTTCGTAGTCTCCCTGACCTTAGTTACGCTTGCTTGTAGATTTTGAGCGGCCATTTCTGTAGACTGTGAAGAGACCCGTAAAAAACCCTAAACCCTAAACCCGTAAAAAAAAACTGAGACTTCGCCTGATCGACACCGAAACCCTCCATAGAGACTCGCCTCAGGGCTTTCATAGGCTCCATGTAGGTCCCTATTTTGGGACACGATATTTAGGAACGAAGGGCCCCCAAAAAAATGAATTACTTTGGAGACTGCAGGTAATATAGATGCCTTAACTGCCTTAACAATTACCTATGCTATTTTGGGGTTCCTTATTATGATTATAGTTTTGCACGTACCCCAAAAGAGTTCAGGTAGTGGTCTTCCGGACTCCAAGCGCAGCAGGGTTTTTGTCTTTAGGGGATCTATAGGATTTCTACATTGGGCCTATGCAGGTATGACCGGATTGATTTTTTGAAAGGGCGCTTGAATTACATCAATCAGTTCAAGGGCCAAGGGTAATATAGCGCCCTTACTAACTATCTATACTATGTGTTGGGGGGTTCCTTATTATCATCGTAGTATAGTATAAGTATATACCCCAAGACCCTATTCTGATTAAGGCCCCTGCATTAATGAAAGGGGGCTTGAGAAGAGGCTCGAAGCCCCTTTAGAGATTCCTTGTAGAAAAGTTTCTCAAGTTCGAGTTGAGGAAGGCTTGGAAGAGGGGGGACGCGGGGCCTTGAGAATTGAGCGCTGCTGAAACTTAGGGTTTAGGGTTTTTCACAAAGGGACTTGAAACGGGGCTTCAGGGGGCTGCCCTAAACCCGAAAGCGCTAAGTGTACTGGCTGCAAGGATAAGTTGCCGGGAGCGGGAAGGTATGTCGAGCCCAGCGCATTCGACAACTTGGGACGGTCTGTTTCCTCTGAAACCTAAGCCAAGAGGTGCGATGATCCTGTTAGAAGCTATCCCCATGGGACTTTGGTCGAGCCGCAGGCGGTAAAGCCTAGTAAGCGGCCCTAAACCTTAAACCCCTACGCAGAGTCGAAAGTCTTGCGCTGGCAGGAACCTCTCTTCACGTCCGCTTCTGCAGCCTCGAGGTAGTTTCTTTTGCTGAGTTGAATCTAGGCCTTAAGGTCCTTGCAAGCTGTTGCTTCACACTTTCAAGCATTCCGGTTGAATTCATCTGTAGAGTTGCAGTGACGGAGAAGCATGCGCACTGAACGAGCAGCAGCTAGAAAAGGCATTCGAGCACTTGGGAGCAAGGTAGAGCTTTATCACGATGGTTCGTTGCCTGTTGAGCGTGCATCAGGCAGGGTGCTCAGTTTCGATTTGGTAGCGGAGCTGGCTGGTCGAGCCAGTTCCCGCTGCCTGTCGATGCGAGCGCTCTGCCTGCTGTGCCTCCTCTTTCTGCTGACTTGCTACGTGGTTGGGCTGGACCAACGGTCTGACAACATAGTCAGCGCGGGAGAGATTGATGACACAGCAGGCACGCAAGAGCAGTCGTTGACTACCACCCCATGGGTTACCACGTCTGCTCAGGCGCTCACTTCTCAGGCAGCAACGCCCAATACGACAGCGCGCTCCATCGGAGATTACGGCTCGGAGGCTTACTTCAACAATTGGACGTGGGCTGAAGTGAAGGGAGTTCTTTCTGAAATTGCATATTTCGCACAGAAGGCCGATGATGGCCGTGGATTGCGTGAGACTGCAACTTCGGAAGGATGTGGCAACTTGAGTTTCTTCGGAACTGTATGGGTGCAGTTTCCTTCAAGGCGCGAAGTGCGCCAACTCGTGGTTGCTATTCTCTTCAGGCTGGACGTTGCGAATGAAAATCATTGGTTCGCGCCTTTAACAAATCCTCGTGGACGTGGCTCAGCCTCTGGCTTGTTGGGAAGACGATTTGATGAGACAAAGCCAGGACAACGCAGCCTCGGAGGACGTTACCTGCCGGGACTACAGATCCTGGGCACTCTTGGTGCAATCAGTGGTTTTCTGATCGCGATGATGCCGGGCTCACGTGAGCAACGTGACCATGGACCTCCTCGTCAGCACGCCCACGTGGGAGACGCTGGGCCACCTTACGTAGGTACTGCGACGCTGAAAGTGCCGCCGGCTTGGAGCAGCGAAAGACAAGCAAGCTAGCTACTCGCTTAGGAGCTGGATCAGTGACTTAATCCTTTGGTCTTCCGCAACAGATCTTGATCATAGAAGGTTGGGTCCCATAGCTGCTCTCCAAGTTACCGGTAGCGCAAAAGAGTTGGTCAGGGAGCTGACCCCCGAACAATTATCGAATGGCGTACTGGACCCCCAGACTGGGCAACACATCACGGGGCTTATGTTGTTGGTTCGTACTTTGGCCACTCGGTACGCTCCCTTGGACCAAGAAGCCAGCACGCGTTCTGTGAGTGAGTTTCTAAACTTCGCCAAGCTTCCTGGAGAGGGAATAGATGCACTCTTAGTCAGGTACGACGTACTTCGGAACAGAGCGGCTTTGCGCGGCGGGCTTCAGATGAATGCTTCAGGGATGGCCTGGCTTTTGATGAGGGCTTTATCACTTCCTGCAGAGTTGGTTGATAGGTTGCTAGCTCCACTAGGTGGTAGGTTGCCGCAGCAAGAAGACGAGTTGCAGGAATTGATGGGCCGCATCAGGAGACAAGGACATCTTTATGAAGCGCGTCCGACTGGGCGACAAGGTGCCACGGGAGATCCGGGTTCATACTACTTCCCGGTGTTTGGAACCCCCAACGAGAATAATCAAGAGCATTCAGCCTACGGCACCTCGTGCCCAAGTTTCGGAAGTAGCGATCGTCCTTTTGGTCACAGCGAAGCTGAGACGGGTGCACAAGCCGGTTTGCAAGCAATGATGGGAGGCCCTAGTAGTTCAAGTAACCCACTAGGTAGTTACTCCTCGCAGTGCATGCAATGCGGTACTTACCACGAAGATGAAGACTTGAGCTCAGCCACAAGTACAGACGAAGGTGAGATGGATACTGAGGCTCAGGCTTTTGCTGCAGTTAATGTTGATGGCGAGAACAGGTCTGATTCAGCGTCCATTGCAGCCGAGCTTTACCGTCTGTATCGTCAAGCCAAGCGCCGTTGGCGACGCTTCACAGGTCGGCCACCCCGTAGGTTTCGTAAGTTTGGGTTTAAGCCTAAGAACTTCGGTAAGTTAGGTAAAACCCCGTATGGCAAGACCTATGCAGCCTTCCTCCCCGCGTCGAGCTTTGCTGGTGGCAAGGGCAAAGGCGGTTCCAAAGGCACAGGTGGTCGTAAGGGTAATCCTAGGGGTTGTAACGGTGAGGTACTTAGGTGCCACAAGTGTAACAGCGACCAGCACCTTTGGAGGCAGTGTCCGATGGTAGCACAGGGTGGATCGCATTTTGCACAGCATCAGCCCGCATCCCTGGCACTTCATACCGTTCCTGCCTCGACTTTTCCCATGCTAAGCACAACACACAGTGCAGATGCTGCAGAGGTGCGTTCAATTCCTGGGGTTACTTTCTCAAGCCACTTTGTGTCAGCCGCAAGCCAGAGCAGCGTTCGCACTGGCCTCGAGCAAGAGCTTGAGGCACTGTCACAGGCATCTGCCTTGAGCAGTCGCAGATCGTTGGAGCGCTCCGGTGGACAAGCTTCCATCGAGGGGCGCATGCAGGGCCCTCCGGAGTGGGAGCCAGGTGACGCACCTGCGCCTAGTCGGTGGCCTAGCTCACAGATTCATCCTGATGACAGTGCAAGCCAAGTCTCCCCGGCGGAAGTCCCGCAGGTGCAATCGTTGATCCGTGGAGCGCCGCCTCCAAAGTATCCTCCCCCCAGTTCTCGTCCCTCCAATGCTGAGCATTCCGAGCAGGAGCGGCGCAAGACAACTTTGCAGTTGCAAACCATGTCGTATCCATGGTGGGAGACGGGAACTGAGGATGTGGCCGCCAGCGAATCCGCTGGACAGCCAACTGGAGTGTACCATGAGCGTACACGCGTCAAGGGTAAGGTGGGATTGCTTGTTGACCCAGGTGCACATGATAACTTGGTCGGGGATCGAACTATGAAGCTGTTGTCCTCACAGGTCAAATGCAAGCCTTCCATCAGACCCCTTGAGCGTCCGTTGAGTGTGCAGGGAGTCGGAAACGGCTCGCAGCAGGCTGATCTCAGTCACGGTGTTGAGTTCAGCATCCGTGCACCAGGCGTGTCCAACATCGATGGCACTTTCAACTCCCCAGTTGTGCCTGACAGTGATCTGCCACCATTGCTTGGGTTGAAATCCTTGCGCAACTGCAATGCTGTGTTGGACATGCAGCATCAGAAGCTGTACATTCCGGGCCCCGGCGGCCTGGAGATCGTGCAGAGCCCTCGCACGTTGATGCTGGATCTTGAGCTCAGTCCTAGTGGGCATTTGATTCTCCCTGTGCATCCGCGTACAAAGTCCTCGGAGGCCCGCAAGCTGGATTTCATTTCCTCGCGTGTTAGTGTGAAGGAGCCGGGTTCTAAGGAGAAGGTTAGTCCGAGTCGCGAACGAACATCGAAAGCAAGCTCCAGCAGCGCCGTGCAGAATTCCGGAATGGACGGAAACCTGTGACTAGCCTCGAGAGGCGAGTCAGGTCCTTTGCATGTTGCAGGCGAGGCACCGAATGCTTGGGTGATGTGTGATCAGGTTAGTGTACGACAGAATATACTATCGTCTTTGGGTCTTAAGAGTGTACATTTCAGCCGTGACCTTCATTCAAAGTAACAGCTTCGGAGAATTCTGAATATGCTTGAAGCGCATTCGCCTCGGATTTTGTGGATCCGACTTGGAGGCCCTGCGGCAGGGTCAGGCAATCGTCACGACAACCAGCGAGCCCTTCATTTCTCCCAGATCGCACAAAGGCAAATCGATAAGGGTGGTTTGGTTGTGTTAGAGGCAAATGCCCGTAGCATGGTATGGTCGTTAAGGTTTGTGCAGGAGCTGTCGGAGCGATTGCATGTTTACGATCATGCTTGGTGCTGGCATGAGCGCCGCTTGGGTGTGCAAACTCAAGCTTGTGATACCGTGATTAGGATTGCCACTAATGTAGAACTGCCTGGGCCTTATGGTTGCGAATGCCCTTCAGGAACTTTGCACATTCATTCGAAGCGGCTCTCCCAGAACGAGCGTCACGTCCGAAACGAGCAAGTGCTTAGGTCGATTGTACAGGTGGCTTTGACTGGATCAAGGCTGCATGGAGCAAGCTTTTCGCTTGTTCCGGACCGCACGCACGGGCGACCCGAGTCGACAAATCAAGGATCGTCGTCAGCAGTTGTCCCTCAGACGAAAAGCACATCCTCAAGCCAGAATGTCGGTTCGAATTCGTTGTCCTTGAGCCCTTTTGCAGGAATGCTTTCATCGCACCACGAACACCTTGATGGTGGACCCAAAGCTGAGAAGGCTGGGTCCGCGACACATGTTCGGAACATCGAGCACAGTCGCCACGACATTGCAATGACTGTTGATTCCACTTGTATCGCATCAGAAGGCCGCGAAGTCGATGCGCTCCTCGCTGAGTTGAGCGCAGCACCGCATGCAGATTTGTACATGGTTCGCAGGGCTGCTATGATCCAGATAGTTGAAGACCACGCCAAACGTGCTAGGTTGGATTTGGACTATTCCTTTAAGACCTGCCTCCGAATCCTCAACCTGATGCCTTCCTCAAGCCACGGAACTCGTAGGCAAGCCGTAAATAGCAGCCAAGGTGGATCATGCAGGGTGCTTGGTTTGTACAAGCAGGGTGCCGAAGTAGGCATCACGCAGCTGTCTTTGGAAGTTCCTGAAACGTGCCGGTATCTCAATCTCTTTGCGTCTGAACATCAGGCTGTTGGGGGATGGACTTCCATCTCCGTTAACCATAATCACATTGGGATCACGGCAATTTTCGGGGAACCCTCAATAATCTTATCGGTTTAGGGGATTATTCCGGTGGACAGTTGTGGGTGCAATTATATGACCACGAAGTAGATAGTCAGAAATATGTAGAGCGGATGATCTCCGATCGTGCCGAGAAGATGCCTGGCAAGGTTCTTTCGTGCAAGCACCGATGCATTCATTTTGAGCCGGAGCGTGTGCATAGTACTTTGCCTTGGAGTGGGGATCGTTTTACTTTGTCGCTCTGCACGAATAGAGCCTTGCAGGAAATCTCTTCATTGCAACGCCAGATGCTTGATGGTTTAGGTTTTCCGTTACCTCGCTTAGGCAAACAATCGGTTATAGGTGGGGATACGTCAACTTTCTTTCCTACGGAGCAAGCTCTCAAGCAGAAGGCCCGATTGAAGCTTGAGAAAGAAGCTGGACGTGCCCCCAAGAAGCGATTGCAGAACGTCGAACAAATAAATCAGGACTGCGGTGAGGATCTCTCTGCAATCCTTCCGGTGACCGGTTGCGTGTCTTGGGATGCAAAGCTTTTGGGTAGCAACTCCGAGAAGCACTTCTCACCTGTGGAAGCCAACACTTTGGACATCATGTATGATGCAGTGTGTAGGCCTGGTCTATGCATACATGGATCCTCAGTAGATAAGCCTTGGCGTGAGTTGTGTAAGAACGGGGTATGTAGTCTTGAACAGGCGCATGCCAATCTAAATGGACCCCTGAACCATTCAGAGTTTCTGATGCTTGAGTTGTTTGGTGGAGTCGAAGATTGCATGTACTTATCGTTCAGAGGAATGACTGGTACGCATAAACAGCCCTTTGACTTCGTCGTACAATTCAATCCTCACAACAACTCGCAGAGTGACAGCGCATTCCAACTGATTCGAGCAGTCCGTCCAAGTGTGATTCTCATGTGTCCACACGTGTCAACGTCGTCGGTTGTTGCATTCTGCCTGAATGCGACAGCCTGGCAAAGTAGTTGCAAAGGGCACTGGGTAGTCGAGCAGCGTAAGGGCAGTGCGTTGTTGGACCCGTTCATTTGGAATGCGTCGTCGATGGCGTTACACGCCAGCGAGTGTGAATCCGTGGTGTTGCTGGCATCAGATTCCTCTCTGATTGGACGAGTTGGCAAATCGCATGGTGCAGATAGGTTTTGGACAGTTGGCCGATGTGCGCATTTTACTGCTGCAGTCGCCGATTTGTGCCATTCAATTTGGGAGTCGGAGTTTGTTGCCAGGATGCAGAGCGCTTATCCTTCCGATGACACATCTAAGTTTGAATGCCCTGGATGCAAATGGCATAAGCGTAAGGACGACCCCTCTCACCTCAGGGTAGGCGACTGTAAGTTTCCAGACGTAGAACCTAAGGTTTGGGATTGTCCAGGTTGCAAAGCCAGCAAACCTAGAACGCATGCCAGTCACACGCTGGAGGCTGATTGTCAGTGGCAGTCTGCTAGGACAGTAGAAGAGGGTTTGCAACGTGAACGTAAAGGTAGCAGGCCTCGAGACCCTCGGGTTCCAGCTGCGAGTGAGCCGACGGCTCAGGCTCGCGTGACTTCAACAGGAGCCGGAAGTAGGTGGAGGCATGCGCAAGCGAGATGCATCTTCGCAGGTAACTGAAGGTGGTTATGGTCCATACGGTAGGGATAGACGTGATGTATCTAGTTCCTCTAGAGGGCCAGAACCGGGATCCAAACGAGATGCGCCTCGTGTTGCACGACCCTCTGATGCATCAGCGGCCGCGGCACCCGATCGAGCCTCGGTTGGAGTCGACACGGCGGATGAACCGCCAGTTGTGCCGGTGCCTGCTGGCGTTCCGGTTGCCAACGAAGAGGCAGAGCCGCCAGCGGGTGAAGGTGATGATATTGCCCCTTGGGCTCGCTTTGACATAGGCCGTACTTTGCAACAGCTTCGTAGCTGTAGGGAGGCGGTAGTCAGGCGTGCTTTGAGGCAACTGCATGTGCGGTTTTATCACCCTTCGACACAGCGTCTTCGAGCACTGTTGTCTGCGGCCGGTGTGCCGGCAGAAGTCTTAGAAAAGATTGCGCAGATAACTGACACATGCACCGTGTGTCGCACGTGGGCGCGACCTGGTCCGAAATCAGTGGCGAGTTCTCACCTTCCTTCTGCTTTCAATGCCGAGCTTCAAGTAGATTTGCTGTTCATTCGTGAACATGTGATTCTACACATGATAGATGTGGCAACTCGCTTTGTGGTGGCAAAGATCGTGCCGAGCCGAGAAACAAATGATATTTTGACCGCTTTGCAAGAAGCGTGGGTTTCCTTGTTCGGCCCGCCTAGCACGATAGTTGCAGACCAGGAAGGAGCCTTGAGTGGAGTTGCTGGTGGTGCATGGATGTCGCATCGCGACATTAAGTATGTACCTAAGGCCAAGTATGCACATGCATCTGTTGTCGAACGACATAATGCTTTGCTGCGTAGGCAAGCCCACTTATTGCTTGAGCAAAGTAACGAGGATGGATTGCGTGTTCCGTTCTCTGCGATACTTGCCGAAGCGGTGTTTGCAAAGAATACTCTTCTCCGAATCAACAATTTCACGCCTTATGAAGCAGTGCTTGGTCGTACACCACCTCTCTACGATTTGATCGCGCCAGAGTTTGGTGAAGAGGTCGCGGCGAAGGATGCCGATCGTTTGAGGGGAAAGGCATTGCGTGCAATCCTGCAGGCTACTGCCGAAAGCAAAGCTCAAAGAGCTGCCAAGTCCAAGAGTCGTCCAAGCGGCGAGCTCTTGGAGCTGTCCACAGGTGATCAAGTCGAGTTCTTCAGAACCCCGTCAAGCAAAGATCTTTCAGGATGGGCAGGTCCAGCTACGGTAGTAGACTTGCAACAGTTAGACCAAGGACAGGTAGGAATCACTTTTCAGGGACGATACATTTTGTGCAGGGTTCAAGACATCCGCAGAGCACTGATGTTTGCAACGTTCCTGTCCGATGAGCCGCACAACACGCCTTCAGGCTTAATCAGAATCACTGCAGAATCCTTGGACAGACAATCCGTGAGGTTGGGATGGTTCCGACAACAGAACGTGTGGCGCAGTTTTGCTGAGAACTCAAAGTTTTCAGACGTGTTGGTGGCGGGACTGCGTCTCGCCGCTTGCAATCTGCAGTTGTCCGGAGTCGTTTCCTTCCGTCTTGGGAACGGGTTGAACACTTTGTCAGGTGTGCAGTGTGATGAGTCTTTTCTCATCTGGTGGCCTAAAGGCCAAGGCGCAGTCTGGAATCACATGTACCTTCCAGGCACTCAATCGGTAAACTTCTCCCGTCTCAGCGATGTGGAGGGAAAAGACTTGTGTTTTCTACAGTTCTTCTGTGAAGACTCGGAGACAGTTCTCAGTCTCCGTCGTGTGGTGCATGACATTCCCAATGTGGGCGGGGTTTACGATCCCGCCTTGCCGAGATTGTCAGAAGTGAACGAAGCTGTGCTTCGACGACGGCAGGTTCGTGCAATCACGGATCGTGCTGGCACGGATCAGACTGGTCCAGAAGTCTTCGACATTAGTACTCCTGATGGTGTGACTGAGTCTTCAGAGCGTCACTCGGAAGATACACCAGAAGGTACGGAGGAAAATGTTGAAGAGGACAGTGACCTGTTTGCTTTCGCAGGCAAGCCTCCAGAAGTCTGTGTGGACTCAGCAGTTGAGCCTTCGTTGGTTTTCACCACCGGAGAACTGAAGGATGAAGCTTTGAAGCTGGAGTTCTCACAGCAAGCAGCCAAGTATCTTGCCGCCTTTGATCGACAGTTGGAATCCAATGAGACTCTTGTCATGAATATGTCGGGTGAGGTGGAATCCGTCATTGAAAGAGCCAATAACATTTTGACTAGACAAGAAGCTTTGGAGAATGTGGATCGCTGCAGGCGGGCAATGGTTAAAGAGTTGCTTAGATGGAACGGTCACAAAGCATGGCTTCGAGGATCAAAGGCTTCAGCGCGTAACACTCTCCAGAGCAAGTGGGTTTTGAAATGGAAGAACATCCAAGGAGAGCGCGACGTCAAAGCTAGGTTAGTGGTTCAAGGGTTTAGGGACACGCAGACTGTAGAGAGTTATGCGTCTACAACCACCAGATGGGGTCAGCGATTGTTGTTGGCTATCGCCGTGCAGCAAGGATGGCCACTCAAATCTGCTGATGTGTCTGAAGCTTTCCTTCGTGGTCTCTCCTTCGAAGAGCTTCATCGCACGGGTGTAGACAAGGAACTTCGCGAAGTGCAGTTGCTGCTGCCTCCGGGATCTTTGGAACTCATCAGATCCGTCCTGGGCCTTGAAACCTTTAACCCAGAATCAGAAGTACTCCATTTGCTGAAACCGGGATTTGGATTGAAAGATGCTCCAAGATTGTGGAATCTGGCTCTTAAGCGCGTGCTCAAGAAAGTTGGTCTGCAGCCAACTAACGTCGATCCGCAGTTGTACGTCCTGCATGCCGACGGCCGTTTGATATTGCTTCTTTCGGTGCATGTAGATGATCTTAAGATAACTGGATTGCCGGAGGAGATAGCACGTACTGTAAAAGTGTTGGAAGAAGAGTTTGATGCCTTAAAGCTTGAAACTGACAATTTTGAGCATTTAGGGTTGAAACACAAGCTTGAAGCTGATGGAAGCAGAACAGTGTCGCAAAGACACTACGTTTCCGAACTTCGTCCGATCGCTGAGGCATCTCTTAAGGCTTCGTCTGCAGATGAACTTGTCAGTTCTGAGCTGGCCCAAAAGTTTATGTCTCTTTTAGGTGGAGTGGCATGGTGTACCCAAACTAGACCCGATATATCCGTGTATGTGGCAGCTTTGCAGCGCCGTTTAAAGAACCCGCGTGTGCAAGACCTTGTGAACTTGAATCGTGTACTGAAGTATTTGAAGTGTAAACCTCTGTGTCTAAGATACAGAAAGTTGGCCAATCCGTGGAGACTTGTCGCAATAAGCGATAGCAGCTTCAAGGGTGAAGGACAGGATCATCTTGCAATGAGGTCGGGCATAATTGCACTTACCGACAGAGATGGCCCTTCTCTAGGCACCAATGCGCTTCAGATCCTAGAATTCCTATGCCGGAAGCAGACCCGCGTTTGCCGCAGCACTTACATGGCCGAGTTGTTAAGTGCCGTTGACCTGAGTGGTCTTGCGATCACGATCAACAGCGGAATCACCGAGGTGTTGCAGGGATGTCAGTCCGCAGCAGAACTGTTGAGGAAACAAGAACAGATGAGCAATGCCCTTCAGTTAACTTTGGTGATTGATGCGATGGCAGTGTTCCTAGGAGCCACTTCAGAGGAGGCTCGTTGCACGGACAGTGCAGCCTTACTGCACCTTCTTGCACTGCGTCAGCTGTTGAGACACGAAGTCAGCGCACTTGCATGGTGTGACACCAGAGATATGCTTTGTGATGGACTCAATAAGGGTGTAATATCTCGAGAGCCCATTAGGTTAGCATGCACCTCAGGTTCTTGGCAGATAGACTTCCCTCTTAAGTTCTCTAAGCCACCTAATGCAGAATGAACCTCTGTAGGCTGGAGACTGTAGGTTAGTTAAGACCCTAAGCCTGGTGTGCATCTCGTGGCTGCATCAGCAAGCTTGACACTTCCGTGAACCTTTTTAGGCCGTTGAGGACCGCACAGCAACAAAGTTGGAGCACGAGCGACCCGAGTCGAAAGTCTTGCGCTGGCAGGAACCTCTCTTCACGTCCGCTTCTGCAGCCTCGAGGTAGTTTCTTTTGTTGAGTTGAATCTAGGCCTTAAGGTCCTTGCAAGCTGTTGCTTCACACGATGGTTCGTTGCCTGTTGAGCGTGCATCAGGCAGGGTGCTCAGTTTCGATTCGCAGCCATGAGCGTTTAAGCCCTAAAGCCCCGACATAAGACCCTTTATTCAAAAGCCACAGCGCCCTATGTAAATGTGCCCGCGTTGAAGCATGTAGAACTCTTATCATCGAACCCAAGCTCCCTCCAGCCCGAAACCCTAAACCCTCAACCCTAAACCCCTAAACCCTGAACCCTGAACCCCCAAACCCCTAAACCCTCAACCCTAAACCCTAACCCCCTAAACCATAAACTCTCAAAGGCAAGGTGCAGGACACCGTCGACCAGAAAGCAGCCTGTGCGTCGGTGATCATAGGTGCTCCTCGGCTGGAGGTGCTTTACTAGGTTTAGGGTTTCGGGGTTTCGGGGTTTAGGGGTTAGGGGTTCAGGGGTTTAGAGGTTTAGGGTTTGGGGTTAGGGGTTTAGCGGTTTGGGTTTAGGGTTTTTAGGGGTTCAAGGTATGTCTCCGTAGGCTAGGCCTGGCTAGGCCTTTGGGGTTCAAGGTTTGATTAGAATGTATGTACATCTCATCCTCAGGAACATTGCCACATTGATGAATGTACCTGTTGGGCGCTAGTATGGGGATGGTCGTAGCTACGGCTGATGATATGGATCCTGCATTGCTCATAAGTAGGAATCTACCATACTTCCCATAGTTTCGGGTCCCTAAGAGAATGCTAGGGATTTATATCATCAACAGTGTGACTCCTCTTCTTCATGCGGGCTTTCAGACCTTCCGGGGTTGCAGGAGGTAAGGTCAGGACGTATGGGGCTTTCTATGGGTTTCTATGGGTTTCTGAATCTTAGGGTTTAGGGTTTAGGATGAATTATGAAAAGTGCGGGTCAGTCTCGGAAAGGCGTGCCGGGATGTTCAGCTTGATCAGGCTTCTCTAGCGAAGCCGTTTCACTCAGTTTAAGCGCCTGACTCCCTCCAGCTTACCGCCTCATACTTTAGCACTTGCAAGCTCGTCCTTTCAAAGTCCCGCCCAGAAATGAACATCTGCATCCGTCAGAAAGCCAGCCGCGTTCAGCGATGAAGCTTACGGGTCCTCAGCTCCGCAACCTCCAGAGTCTCATCCTTCAACCCCCCAAACCCTTGCACCCGATGCCCTAAACTATGCGCCCAAGTGAGTACTCTTGGGTCCTTTTTGGGGCACCGGCAACCTGCACCCTCACGGCTACCCTAAACCCTAAACCCTATAAACCCCAAACCCTAAAAACCCTAAAAGCCCTAAACCCAAATCCCTGAACCCAGTTGTTTTCGAACCTCGGCTTCCTCATCTCGTTCATGTCTGACGGTGTGGCGCAGTGCCAGAAGACACTGCCTCTTGGCCCAGCGCAAGGTAGGGCAGCTTTTTTTAGCTTTTTTCATTTTAGGTTTAGCCTCACTTGTGCCCAAAGTGCCCAACAATCATACCCCTTAACCCTAAGCCCCAAACCCTAAACCCTTGAATTGTGAACCTAACTTTTCATCCCAAACCCAAGGAAACCCATTTTCTTGGTTTGCAGGTTTTCAAGCTTCCGGAGTTTTGGGTTTGGGGTGCAGGGTTTGGGGTTTAGGATGTATGGTTAAGGGTTTAGGATGTAGGGTTTACGATATAGGGTTTAGGGTTTAGGATGTAGGTTTTGGGGTTTAGGATGTAGAGGGTTTACGGTTAGGGTGCTGTAGGGTTTAGAAGTTGGGGCTTCCAGCAGCGCCATGACGAAGGGTCTGAGGTTCACATAGAACCCTTCTAAGTTACCCTAGTTGGTGCAGTCATGCTGTATTGGAAAGGTAGGGTGAGTTCAAGTCACGCGACGCACGCTTCTCCAGCTATTGCAGTTTGCGCCGATTTTTCTGCGCTTTTCAAGTCAATAGCAGCAGCTGCGCGTGTGATCTTGACTTGCAAGATCGATCGGGCACCATTGGAAGCAGCCTAGTTCAAGTGTCTAGTTCGGTGTAGAGGCACCCTAAACCCTCAACCGCTAATTCCTGAATCCCTCAACCCGTATTGATCCTAAATCCCTGTATGCAGGGCTCAGGAGCTTCGGATGTCATTTCACCAGCCTCGGTTGTGGAGTTTTGGACACGGCTTGCATGATTTGAGCAACCTCTGAGAAGTGAACACGAACGTTACTGTCAGAGCCTATGGCACCCCAATATAGAACCCTAATAATCACAGGATCCTTGTTGTAAAGACCATGAAAGTGGCAGTCCTTGATGATCTTCGAAAGCCGCCAACGAACCCCCTCCAGGAACGTGCCTGCACTTTGTGCAGCCAACGTCGGCAACATGATCGCGGTGCCTTCGCCATGGCAAATATTTTAAATTATTGGGGATACTACAAGGCTTCCTATCGGGGGCTACGATAAGGGCTGCTGCTACAAGTAAGGGTAGCGTATTTTTCAGGTTGACGTTGGGGATTTGGGCGAGCCCGGAATCAGAATTTTGGGGCTTTGGGGTTTAGGGAATAACCTTCAGCTGTTGCGTGGCTTTTCACGAGCTTCGTCTTGTACTTCGCAAAGTCCTATTCTGCTTATCACGGCCCCTACAGTCTTCTGGCTCTGCAGGTCCGTATTTGAGGGAGTAGATGATTGCTAGGTACTTGGGCCCCAGCAAGGACAGGGCTCAAGCCTTTTCGGGAGTTTCAGCTCCAATGCGAAGAGTAAGTCGGGATCTTGGAACTAATGGATACCGAGACGGAACACAAAAAGATGCCGGCCACTCCTAGGACCGAAGATCTTGAAGTTTAGGGTTCCGGGTAACCCTAAAGCACGATAATGCAGTTCCTATGAAAGGCCTTTGTACAGGGTTCAGGGCTGGTGGTTTAGGATTTGGGGCTTTTTTTCGCAGGCCCGATCAACTTCTATAGAGCCCAGGTGTTGAGTATCACCGGCTCAACCATGTCCGGCTTGCAAGTGAGTTGTCGAGCTGTCACAGCGATGGCTCCTGCCTCAGGCTCTAGGGTAGCTTGGAATGTAGAAGCCCGGGTACGATTCGTTTTACATGTTTAACTAAATGCGGATAAGTTATATGCAAACTGTAATACACCACAACAGCGTATCCTGATCAGTATAGGGACCCCCTGTTATTGGGGTTAGGGCGTAGGGGTTTAGGGTTGAGGGTGCAGAGTCTAGGGTTGATTGAGGCTCGAGGGTTTCAGGTGCAGCATTTCGGGCTTCGGGACTTGAGGGTGTCGGTGTCTAGGGCACGGGTTGAGGGTTTCGGCTTCCTGATTTAGGGCTTTAGGGCTTAGGGCTTTAGGGGTTTCTAGGGTTTAGGGGTTTAGGGTTTAGGGCTTGTCAGGGCAGTGGCCTGACAGTCGAGACCCTCACCGTTGCTCTTCAAGGTAAAGCGAGTTGCTCAGGATGCAGGGGTTGATTTCGGGGTCAGTTTGTAGCGTGTATATAGAGAGTTCAGAATTTCGAGCTCATGGTCGCGAAAATGCGAGAAAGACCTCATACGTTGCTTGTTAAGTACTTCGATCCGCCGTGTACCTCAAAGGGTTGGGCTCGAGAAACTTGGAATCCCCTGGTCCGCGAGTTTCTGCTGCTTAGTTCTTGGCTTCAGGCGTCATCGAATTTTTCTAGGCCGCCAAGTATAACTATTCCACGAGGCCCGTGAAGAATCATGCCATGCCTCAAACTGTTCCCGTGGTCTCAGTATTTTGTTTAGTCAGGTTTCTTGCAACGCCTATGCTACATACCCCCCAATCCCTACTCTTCGAGAGCAGGGGATGGTCCGCCAGCCCTCCAAAAGGGCTGTTGGAGTTTGGGGGTTTAGGTTTCAGGGTTGGGTTTCTGATAGGGGCTATGTGGGCTTACAATGGACGCATTGCTACAGTACTCGCCGCCACCACGATCTTTTCATAGCTCTCGGCATTGCTTCTGAAACAGGAAACGTGATGCTGCCTCAATCGCACATTTCTTCCGACAGGGTTCAGAAAAAAAAAACATACCTTTCGCCACAAGCCCTAAACCCTAAACCCTATTAATGCTATTGCTCTCCTCCACGGGTTCCAGGGGCTAACCCAGGAGCCCAAATGGCGCGAGTACCTTCCAGACGCAGCCGCCAAGTATGATGCCTTCAAGGAGATGAAGAGGCTGGGTCTTTTTTGAATCATTATTAATACTACTGCTACTACTACTACTACTACTACTACTACTACCACTACGAATAATAACAATAATAATAATAAGAAGAATCATACTACTACTACTACTACTAATAATAATAATATTAATACTAATAATAGTAATACTAATAATAATAATAATAGTAATAATAATAACAGTAATAATAATAATGATAATAATAATAATAATGTGTATAGGTGATTTATGTGACTGATGCCCCGACGTCCTTTTCGCTTCTTTTGCAATCCTCTTTTTGTTTCAAGGCGGGTATCTTCTTAAATGGGCAAAGGGTGCTCTTATGGTTCAGGATGCTGGGACGCCTTAGCGGGCTCTTCACGGATCAGGGTTTAGCCCTTTGGGGCTTCAGGGTGGAGGGCTTTGGGGATTGGCTTGTCGGGTTCTTGAGAGTGGTCAGGCTTTGATGATGAGGGGCTGATGGGCTAAAGCGTTTAGAGTCTAAGCTTTTGGGTCTATTTCGAAGTACTTAACATGGTCTGCACAAATATTCCGGTATCAACTTCTGGCTTCTATTGATGCCTCTGCAGCCTTTGAGGCAGGTTTGGGATCTATGCGAAACCGCAAAACAAAGCCCATGCCAGAAGCGCAACAAAGAGGGTTAGAGGGGCCGCAGGGTTTAACCTAAGGGTTTAGGGTGTTGATGAATAATAAAGTCCTCTTCCCTGAATACGGATGCTTATGGATCCCTCATTTGGCCCTTAAAGATTAAACCTCTAAAGAAACGGGGTTGCTCAACAAGGGGTCTACGTGAATTGGGGTTCAGATACCACAGCCAGGCAGTACAGCCGGCGCTTGCGTGGGGAGTTTGTGCCAGAGGGGAACCACAGTGCCGTGCTGCGCGGTCGCTCGGAGCTTGATTGAGGAAGGCTGTCCTAAGCCAAGAGCCCTTAACCCGAAAAGTAGAAGGCCTAAGTCCTAAGCCCTGAATCCTGGCTACTCGATCCTGAACCCCTCTGTCCTAAACCGAAACTTCCGGGATTTGGGGGTTTCAGGTTTCACGGAATTGGAGCTGTGATCTGAGCCCGACGTCGGAAAGCCGGGGACCTACACTCTGAATTATTCCTAGGTCCCTAGGTAGCTTGAAAGGGGACCCCTTAAAAGGGGACCCCCTTCTTGACCCTGTTCTTATGGCTCTCTTAAAAGGGGCCTTATTGAGAGGGTCTACATCCCCAAGGGTCCGCCTCATCCTAACTCCCAGTAATCAAAAGGCGAGAGTCCTAAGCCCATTTGGGTAGTTCTCTTAAATTGGGGTCCCTTCGGCTCCTTTTTACAAGGGTGCCGTACTATATTGGGGACCTAAAGAGGGATCCTAATTTAGAGAACTACCCATTTGAAGGATGCACCGGAGGCCCTGTAGGCGAACAGCAACTCCAGTCTGGTAGAGATTCGACTCGAGGTTGAGGTTTCATTGTGCTTGCGGAGTGTGTGTCTATATATATATATATATATGAAAGAGCGTTTAGGGTTCAGGGTTTAAGGTTTAGGGTTCAGGGTTTAGGGTTCAGGCGTTAGGGTTTCTGTCGAGCGAGTCGCACGGCAAATTTCGGTAAATCCCAACCCCCAACACCCCAAAGGCGAAGCCCCACACCCCGGAGCCCAAACCCCCAACTCCTTAAACCCCCTCCGGTTTAGGGTTTAGGGAAGTCGGGGCTCAAAGCACTAAAGCTCAAAGTGCCCCAGGCCTTGAGCAGAAGACGGCCACACTTCCGGCGCCGCCGACGCAGAGATATCTTGCTGGGAACATGCTCCAAGAGATCCGGACCACGCTTTGAAATCTATATAAGGGGTCGCCAGGGCTCGTTTCAGGTCCCCTCTGACGGTCCCTTTACGGTTTCTAGGGTCATGTACTTAAGGGTTCTTCTAAGGCTCCGTGTATATGTATGGAATTCAGGCATCAGGGTTGACATTTGAGGTGCTTTCAGGTTTGGGGTATCCCAAGATCCGAGTTGACACCACAAAACCTTGGCCAAACTGAACCCTAAGCTCTGAACCCAAGCCCTGCAATCCTAAAACCTAAATCTGCAACATCGAGATCCTGAACACATGCCAAGAATCACTAAAACTGAATCCTGAATTTTGGCAAAGCGGACCATAACTACTTTGAGGAACCACAGGGAGGAGGGCCAGCAGTCAGAACTGGGTTGTGGGGCCGGGGCGAGGCATACCATCACCATATTCGGGTTTAGGGGGTTTAGGATTAGGGTTTAGGGTTTAGGGGAACCCAACGGGTTTATTTAGGGTTTAGGAGTACTACAGAAAAAGAATCCCCCTTATACCATAACAGAACAATAGCCCTAGAAACCCCGAAGTCAAGAAGCAAAGAACGCCTCTGAACGCTGAACCCACCACCCTAACTCCGTTAGTCAAGCAGGAACAAGCTGTCAGCAGCAGAGTTCCGGAAAGTTGAGATCTCGCAGTGTGTCTTCGATGTGATGCTCACCGGGCCACCCTGCTTTATGCTTAAGGTTTAGGGCTTTGCTACTGGTAGTGCATCTGTTTAATGAGATAAATGATAGAGCTCATGTATAGTTACTGCTGCATTTCCGACATGTGTGATCAGTTTGATACTCATACTGCTATATACTACCGGAGAACGATCGGGTTGATGCTCATGTTTGGTTTTTGCTGCTGAAGATTAAAGGCTTTTGTCACTCATATGCCGACAGCATCAAAATGTAGGAGTTCGCTCTGCGGCGTTATGAACAAAATTATTGCCCATTGTAATTCAGGGTTTAGGGGTTTTGGGTGGAGGAAACAGACGTCGTCGTCATCGTCGTGGGCTTTCTCCGCCAATCCTGGACCCTAAACCCCTGCCCCAAACCCCGATCTCAGCTAAGGATGTTCTTCGGACGTGGGCTGCTCCAACTCTACAATGCGGCCATGCGGAGCCACTTGGAACCTGAAGGGGGGAGTGTCCAACAGCAGGCCCGGAGGAGTTGAATTGGGCCTCAGGGCAAGTGGGAGGTCTCAGGCCCTGGATCATGTGAGTTCTTGATGGTAAAGTGCTTGTCTAGTGGCCAGGTCTGCAAGGATGCCATCGAGTTGATTTGTTTGGAGATGCTGTCGTGGAGACGCCGATGTTTGTAGGAAGCTCTTGCTGTTGCAACGCCTAATAATTTAAGAATAACATTAAGACTAACTATACACACCTAGTTTCAATGTAATACTAGTTATAATCATAATCATAATCGCTGATTGGGCGTACTTGCTCCAGCGTGAGCCTCTGTCGGTGGCAAGGAATACACGCAGGCATCAGACTCACACACGCGGGAACTGAGGTCCGTGCTCAAATCCCGGAGACTTCAATGATCCAACAGAACCTCTTCTGCAAGTGCATTGATGGTTCCACCAGCTTGAACACCAAACTCGAAGTTAGGGCCCAGGCTAAATCCTAAACGCTTCCACCCAACCCACAACTCCTCGTGTGGGAGCTGGGGAGTGGGTTGGGGCAAAGGGCTTCACGGCTCGTAGGTGTAGTGGCAGTAGCAGTTCCTGAAGCATTAATGACCCGAAGCATTGTGCGAATCACATTCGACTGCAGATATATATATATATATATCAAACCAGTATCAGATAGCGCGAAACATTTAGTTGAAGTTACACGTAACTCACCCTGTCGGCCACTCTCTGATCTTCCAAGCGTCCTCAGCCGTGCACCTGGAGATTCCCCACGGCCCTCCCACCCAGACCCAAGATCCATTTTCCTGAGCCGCACAGCTCGTACAGCTCCAAGACCCCCCCAGAACCCCGCAAGCCTGCAAGCGGGGGAAAGGCCTCAACCACGCAAGCCCTCAAAACCGCCGACTCCGGCGAAGCTTCGTGTCTTAGGGTTTAGGGTTTATCGGATAGTCTTGTTTTGTATGGATGCTGCCCCAAAGCCCCACGCATTGTAAGACTCTTTTCACATCACTCGGAATGAACACTTTGGGTCCAGGATTCTCTGATATTTCGGTAGTGGATGAGGCGCCATTCACGGTTCAGAAATTCAAGACCTATCTAGCTTCCCCAAGAGTTACTGCCCTGTCGCCGGTTTGATTTAAGGGCTTCTTTTGCTAAAACTGAGTAGTAGGAGAGCGGGTAGCAGCATTTACTCCGAGACCTCCTTAATATGGGGGTCCAAGTACCTAATAATCATATACTCTTCTGAAATTTGCTAAACCCTTAATCCCTAAACCCTTAAACCTGCAAAACTACTATCCGCAACCCAAAGGACCTGATGATTATCAGGCTCCTTTGGATTTTTGGAGTTTAGGGTCTCGGGTTGAGGACCTTAGCAGACCCAACCCCCCGAAGCCTGCACTCGAAGCACTCCAAACCCGACAGCCTCAATCCCGAGCCTGACCAATCGACTATCACAACCCGCAAACCCTAACAGGTTTAGGGTGTAGCATTAAGGGTTTAGGGTTAAGGGTGTAGGGTGAACCGGGTTAACCCTTATACACCTACAGCCCTAAAGCACATGAGGAGGCGGATGCCACCTGTTTGGTGAATGTGGCCAATTTGATTACCGTCTTCGATTTCGTGGGAGCTCTTATTGCCCTGCACTCTGGCCCATAGTAATGTGGGGTGGGCCTTTTAGGGTTTAGGGTTAGGGTATAAAGTTCGGGGATTAGGGGTTTAGAGTAGGCCTTGAGGTAGGGGTACTTGTTGGTGGATACGAAAGAAACAGCGTACTCCTTAGGATTGTCGGTGGGTGTATACCCCGGATGCTAGCTATGCGGAGACAAGGTATAAACGAGAGAAAATCAAAACATCACCAGGGCGTAACATTCTGTAGTAAGAACCCTTCTTCGCAGTCGTTGTAGCAAACCGCAAAGATGCACCCGCAAGAAAAAATATGGGTCTGGCAGCCACTGGAGATTCATAGATAGATAGCTAGCTTGCTGATTGCTTGATAGGTTGAGAGATAGTAGATAGGTGGAGAAAGAAAGACAGATAGATAAGCCTTCGACAAGATGTGTCCGCTGATTCATCTTGCCCGAATAGGCCCCCAACACCAGGTACGGATTTGGGATGATTTTTGGCTTCCCTTTGTGACACTGGAGAACCCTTACTATATAGATACTTGATTAGCTTCTTTTAAATTTGCAATGAAGACTCCTTGATAGAAATAATGTTGGGTGCTCGTGGACTGGACACCTAGGAGAATTTGTTTGTTATTTGTCGCCGCCTTCAGGGCCGAATCCGACACGCAAGACACTTCGACATGCTGTCGAGACACCTCCATTGCATATTGGAGGGGCCTTAATAACTCGAATAGGGTTTTGGGGGTGTGCATTATACCATAATTATATTAAGGAGCCCCAAACCGGTATAGGTAATCATCAAGGCCCCTATATTACATCGCCTCACCGTGGCCATTGCAAGCAACACTCTGCAATTCCTTGCACCTCAGTCGCCTAGTTGCTGAAAAGCTAGCCTTGAACCCTGTTGCAGTTGCTCAATATGTAACCGATACCCGAAGGGTCCAAGCAGACCAGTTCTATACACCCCCCCCCCCCACAGAATCGACATTCACTTACAATTCACACTGCCTAAAAGCCCAAGTACCTGATTCTGATGTACATTGGACCTTTAGGGTTCCCGACCAGGGAACTCTACTGCTTAGGCTCCAAGGATCAGGGATCCAAACTAGTCATAGCAGCCCATAGACTCTATGACTGCAACTATAGCCTCAAGTTTGGCTTCAAGAGCATTGACTAGGTCATGGCTGTTGTTGATGTTAGTTTCATGCGGCACTGAAGTCGAGTTGAAGAGCCTTCACGGGTAAAGGCTTCAAGCTACAACCCTTCACTCTAAATTCCACAGGCCGCAAGCCCTAGACACGCCAAGACCCCCCAAAGCAGTAAACCCTTGAACCCTGGACCTCTGGAGCCTTCCACCCTAAACCCCTAAACCCCCTAGATCCTAAACCCTACACCTTCAGAATCTCTAAGCCCCCGGAGGACGGTGTCCGAGTGCCCAGCGGGCGCTGATCTCAAGGTCGGCTGCAGGGACCGCGGTTTGGGGGCTTGGAGTTTAGGGGTTTAGGGTTTGGAGTTTAGGGTTTAGGGGTTTAGGGTTTAGGCTTTAGTAGGGTTTAGGGTTTTGGGGTTTGGCGTTTAGGGTTTAGCAGGGTTTAGGGTTTATGGTGTGTATACAGTACGTGCGCATTGGCGCGCCCTTAACTGTAGGAATAGGGGCGCGCCCACTATAATCGCGCGCTGACCCCAACTATTCTCAATTGGTTTCTGGGTCTTCGCGGCCTGTGCCGGCCGCTCGACCAGAAACAAGGGTTTCCCCGACCCCCTCGCACCCTGTGAGGGGGCCTCGGTCGAAGCCTCGAGCGCCCCGGCTTCACAGTCGCGCAATGATTAAGCACCTCTAGGTCTTCCACCGTCCGAGTATGCCCTGAGGGTCCAAGTAGTCCCGGTTTAGTGCTCTTGGGACCCACACGGCATCACAGCCTGACCACATGAGCACATGCATGCTGCGGGGCCGGTGTCAGGGCTTCAAGCTTCGGGGATACGTCCCGAAAGCAAAAAGGCCTGACCATCCTCAGCCCCGACAAGCCCTTCATTGATTACACTTTAGAACCCACTCTAACAGAGGATGTGGGCTAGCGGCTATAGCGTGCCTAGTCAGATGCGTGACTTAACTCCCGGCTGCTGAACGCTAAACTTTATCCGGGACCCTATAAACCTTGGCCATAAACCCTGAATCCTAAAGCCTATAAGCCCTAACCAAACACACCATGGTCGCAACCTTGGGACCGCCCCTTCGCGCCGGCCGGTTGAACCCACCTACAGCTGCGCTGCTTCTGTTTTGTGTGGATGTGCGACTCTGGGTCAGTCATGTAAGGCCGAAATCTATGAACAATCCGGATAACCCAGACTCTAACTGTTCTGACTCTCAAAGCGAAGCCCGCACCTCCACAGCTCAGCACCCTAAACTCCCAAATTCTAAACCCCAAGCCCCCACTGCCGGAATCCTACCTATGAGCCGTGAGCAGAACAGTGTTTCAGGGTCTATGGGGTTATAAGAACATCAGAAGTTGCGTTAGCAGAGATTTGCGCAATTCCTGCTACCGTTACAGGCACGTGCAGGCTACAGCCAGAACATTTTTGATTCTCTTCATGTACTCCGCTGTGCGCTCTACATGTTTCTCGAGGCTACCAAGCACCTGTAATCATCATGTACTTTCCCAGATGCTACTCTGCATTACTACCCTAAACCCAGGTACCTGACGATACGAACCTACAGTACCACTACACCGTAGATGCTACGCCAGAACAAGGTACCTTCATTTTGCGAACCATTTCTACCCTACATCTTCTCAAACCAGGCACCTTATTGACGGGTTCATGGGATCCCTATAACCAAACTTCTCGCGACATGGTCCTCCCCTTACAGAAGCCTTCGAGAATCCGTTACAGGAAGTCTCAAACTCTTGGCTTACCTTACCTTGGGTGCTTTGGATCTTTGGGGCTCGGAACAGAGACTAAAATCCTAAACCCGATGCCCTAAACCCTAAATCCTTAGCCCTAAACCCTAAACCCTATGGATCCTTAGGGTTCGGAACAGGCCTTGTGCGCAGCGGATGCGATAATCGCAATCGGCGCCATCACGGCTCTCGTCCAGATGCCTGGCCTTTTCGGCACCCTAAACCCTGCCTGGAGCCGAAAAGACCTACCTTTTTCGGGCTCCTTATTATGGTTAACGGTTTCTATATCTACTCAGCTCCTTAATACTGAGTTTCTTCAGGCCTTTTAAAAACCCCAATCAGATTCGGACAACTTCGAGGCCCGCAGAGAGCCACATCCTCGATTTGGGAGAAGCTTTCCCTTAACTTCCATATAGGGGTCGGAATCCTTATGACTACTTCTTTACATAAATAATATTATAATAGTAAGGTGTTCGTGGAGGGTTTCTTCTTGTAGTGTACATTATCTATCTATATTGTAGTGTACATTATCTATCTATCTATCTATAGTATATATATATAGATATGTTTTCTAATTAATTTATTCATTAGTTTATTTATAATCAAAATCTGCACCCAAGCCTGTTAGCTATGAAGGCTCCTAGGCTCCTTTATCCGGTATTTCTGCGCGAGCCCCGGAAATTCGGGTGTTGCTCCACGCTCTCTCTGTCAGGACGGGAGCAGCATTCCTCCTCGTTTGCGGAGACCTTGAGAGCCGCATGGAGCTATTTTTGGACCCTAAACCCTAAGGGTTTAGGGTTTAGGGTCTTTAGGGATTGGGGTTCAGAGGTAAGGTCGGTGTATTTCAGGTTCTGGGGGTTGGGGCATGTGGGGTCAGGGTTTGGGGTTAAGGGGGTTATTGGACTCTAGATTGAAAAGTTGCACGGGGCAGTGCAATGAACATCTGGCACCTGCAGCGAGTGTGGGTTCTGGTTTTGGATACTGGAAGAAGACCTGGGGCCACTCCCACAACGCTGTAAGGGCCCAAGTACCGAATACTCGCTTTCTTCCCAAAATAATGAGCTATACTAATCACTATACTACTGTCCTAGGTTTCTGTGGGGCCCTTATGGAAAGTTAAAGAAGCCCTGCATTCCACACTGGTGAGGTGACATCGACACAGTTGTTGATGACATTGCGCCTGGCGTGGTGATCTGACGCTTGTCAGGGCTTCTCGAGTCTCCGCAGAACTGTAACAGGGTTCGTGGCTTACGTAATGAAGTCTCCAAACTCTAAACCCTGAGCCGCAAACGATTTTCTGGTTGAGGACTCATCGCTGAATTTTCACGGATTCGAGTTCTTTTGTTTCAGCCCTAAATCCTAAAGCCTAAACTCAACCCCTCAACGCACCCAACAGGGTAGACCACAACTTCGACTTCCTGCCAGAAACACCGCGACACCCTCATCCTAGGTTAGGGAAAGAAATATGAACCCCAAAAGACTTTCAAGTTCATGTACCTGAATTTTATAGGGATTCATCCTATCAGGGTGGAGGGCCACTACTTTCCAGGGTCATTTGGTCCTTAAGGTAAAGGAAATCTCCCATGCGGAACGGCCGGAGGGAGTCAGAGCTGTTTTGAACAAGCTGCGAAGCGAACCGGGATTCCTCTGAGGGCTTTAGGCTTGTAGGGCTTATGTGGCATAGGGTTTAGTTTAGGGTTTAGAGGTTAGAGATTGAGGGGTTTAGGGTTCCATTTTTCTTTTGGCCCAAATCCCGGAACGCTGGCCTTATCAAGTCTTTTTTTGCCTAAGGGTCCAGGTGCGTGCATAGCATTATTCACTTAGGCCCGAAAGGTACGACCTGCCCAAGAGACGGTGCTTGGACCAGTAGGTTTTTTGCTTTCTTGCAATAGCATCCCTCGTGGACGCGAAGCCTTCCTCGATGGACTTCTGAATCCGAAGCGGTCCAATTTTTTTCCGAATCCTAGGCCAAACTCATCTATCTCACATCTGCGAGGTTTGAGCATGTTGGAGATTGGACCGTACTAGCTTCTTCTGCAATGATCTCTTGGCAACAGTGGAGTGGCACCTGAGAACTCAGAGCTAGATGGGCAAATTCGTTTTGGGTGGCTTAGGTCG